GATAGGTTATATAGAACTTCATGGTTGGGATCAAAACATATGTAATATGAAAACTACATCTAACCCCAAAAAAGAGAAAACTGTTGTGAATCTTGTGAATTACGACAAAATTCAATATAAATTTGTGAGACAAAGAACAATAGCAACCAAAATAAATGATCTTCGGCAATAATAATCCATACACAGATAATATAGCAGAATAAGGCAAGAAAAACTGAAAGTTTGTTTACCCAATTCGACCAAACGATCTACTCTAGGGGAGAGAGCAGCTCTCCAATTCACTATACTCAGAAAGTTTTTACAAGATATTACAGATGAGTTACAAGAAAATAGCCTTCGCCTTCAGGTTTTGAAGAACAACCCTGAAGGCGCCCAAGAACAACCTTATTTTCTACCCAAGTGTTTCCCTACCTCTCCAACTCTCAATATATGAATCACTCAAACCCAAGGTGTAATCCAAGATTTTCTTTGTTCATAGCTGAAACTCTATGCTATACCTTTAAACCCTTGGTCTCCCTTGTTGGTGAAAACTCTAAGATTGTCACACACCAAATATACAACAGATACATATTTATAATAGCAAATACCCAACAAACAAAGCCCAAAATCACATGGATCCATGGGCCGAATCTAAAAAAGCCCGAAAATGTGAAAACACTATTCACCGTACGGACGTTACTATTCATCCGTACGGATATCACTATTCACTGTATGGATGACACTATTCACCGACTGATTTTTTTCCGACTTTTCGTTCGTTTTTGTAAAATTTTCGATTTTCGCGGTAAATGCAATCTCCAAAATATATTTTCTTTCTCTTCATCAACAAAGGTTTTAAGGCACATTTACAACAATATCCACCTTGACTTTAAATCGTGTTGATACCAATCTAACAATCAACAACATTACTGTTCTCTACAAAGTTGAAACTTTAATCAATAACTTTGATCAAATTCAAGCAACCCTTGAATCTTGATGTCGCAACTTGCATCCACTTGTTCCCAATTATCCTTTTCTGCCTAGGTAATTTAACAAGCCTACAAGTATGATTTTTCAACCACCCTTGACTCCACCTATTTTCAAATGCATTCCTTAAGGTTTTTCTTCTTTTATTTTGCACTCCTTTAGCCACATTGAAAACATAATATCAAAGTCTAGCATAATCTTCCCTTTGAGATGCTACAATAACCCTCCTTACCTTATCATGAGTCAAATGATAATCAAAAATCTTTGTAACCGTTCCCTCACTACTACTAGCATCCATAGTAGGAAACTCTACCTCAAACTGAGTTTTCTCCGTTATAAATTCTCCCAGGTTTCTTCCTTGGTTCTCACTATTCTTCTTCTGAAGAAATTCTCTACCAACCAAGTAAGTTGGTTTAACCTCATCTCTTCCCCAAAAACTCAATAACAACTCAGCAGTAGCATGTATTTTTATCCCTTGATTTTTGCAAAATTCATTGTACTCCTCTGAAACTTTCTCAAGGCATTCATAACACCTTAAACTCAAATCCCATAGCTCTTCCTTGTCATGAAAGCCTCCACTAGTTAACGATAAATGAATAATAACATTTGAACCTTATAAAATATATAGGCCACATATTTTAGACCCTTTAGCAATAATCAGTTCATCACACGAAATCTTCAACACTCCATGTTCAACTCTAGTACAATAACTTAGATCATCAAACATACTTATAGATAACAAATTTCGCTTGAGTTCTGAAACATACCTCACATTGTGAAAAAGAAGTTCACGGTCATTAAAATTTTTAAATGTGACTGTACCAATACCATGAACCTTGCATGTCTTATTATTACCAAGGCGAACTGCTCCACCTTGCACCATCTTCAAAGTTTCAAAGTATTCTATTTTTAGACACATGTGATAAGAGCAACCTGAGTCAATGACCCTACTATCTTCAGTTTCCAAACTTGATACTACTAGTACTTCGGCATCCTCATAACTTTCCTCACCCAATGCAACTACAGCTTGAACGAAATCTTCATTGATCTTTCTTTTAGGACAATCCCTTTTAAAGTGAACGATTTTTTGACAATTAAAACATTTTACCTTTGACTTGTTAGAACTCTTTGATTTGTACATCCCTTTACGCTCACCTCCTCCTCTTGACACATTTAAGCCTTCACCACTATCTTCAATCTTCAAATCTTTCGACTTTGAAAATTCTTTGGATTTCACCGCCATCTGAACTTCATCCAAAGTAATAGTACCTTCCTTACCATAAAGAAGGGCATCCTTAAAGTGCTCAAAGGATCTGGGTAATGAACTCAACAGGAGCAAAGCCTTGTCCTTATCATCAATCTTCACTTCAATATTCTCAAGATCATCGATAATCTTGTGAAATTCTGTGAGCTGCTCAACTATGGATTTGTTCTCCACCATTCGGAATGAATAGAATTGTTGTTTCAGATACAACCTATGAGCTAAAGACTTTGTTATGTATAATTATTCAAGTTTTTCCCACATAACAACCGCAGTTTGCTCCCTGGCGACTTCTCTAAGAACTTTATCCCCGAGGCACAAGATAATGACACTCCTGGCCTTATCCACCATCTTAGTCTTCTGTACCTGTGTAAGCCCTGCAGGCATTAATGCTTCACTCTTCAAAGCATCAATATACTTCTCTTGAATAGAATTGCTTGCATCTTAATTTTCCACAACCTGAAGTCGTTGTTACTAGAAAATTTATCGATCTGCCATCTACTAACCATGGTGCTCACTTGTCAATAATATATTTTTGCTCCATGCTCACCGTACCACTTGTTGTGAATCTTGTTGTGAATTACGACAAAATTCAATATGAATTGGCAAGGCAAAAAACAATAGCAACCAAAATAAATGGTCTTCAGCAATAATAATTCGTACACAGATAATATAACAAAATAATGCAAGAAAAAACTGAATGTTTGTTTACCCATTTCGACCAAACGATCTACTCTAGGGGAGAGAGCAGCTCTCCAATTCACTACATTCAGAAAGCTTTTACAAGAGATTACAGATGAGTTACAAGAAAATAGCATTCGCCTTCAGGTTCCCAAGAACAACCCTGAAGGCACCCAAGAACAAACCTATTTTCTACCCAAGTGTTTCCCTACCTCTCCAACTCTTAATATATGAATCACTCAAATCTAAGGTGTAATCCAAGGTTTTCTTTGTGCATAGCTGAAACCCGATGCTATACCTTTAAACCTTTGGTCTCCCTTGTTGGTGAAAACTCGAAGATTGTCACACACCAAACATATAAGGGATACATATTTATAATAGCAAATACCCAACAAACAAAGCCCAAAATCACATGGATCCATGGACCGAATAAAAAAAAAGCTCGAAAATGCGAAAACACTATTCACCGTACGAACGTCACTATTCACCGACCAATTTTTTTCCCCGCCTTTTTGTCTGATTTTCGCGGTAAATGCAATCTCCAAAATATGTTTTCTTTCTCTTTATCAACAAAGGTTTTAAGGCACATTTACAACAAAAACTAACTACACTTACTCAACATAATTTTACAATCAAGCCCTAGAAGAAGGAATTTGAAAAGCATCTGTTGACGATTCCATGAAAAGCCCTAGCATGAAAAAACTGAATAATGCTCAAATGTACATAACTAGCAAGATGCACTTAAAAATATTTTAAATGAAAAAATGAACAGTCATACAACAACTTAGAAATGAATGAATGAAATAAAAATTGTATGAAGTAAACAAATAAACATATAGAACAAAATACAAAGAATGATATTACAAGATATACGATTTGTAGAATCATACAATAGGGTTGGTTAAAGTATAACTTGCTACAAGAAAATGTTAGTTTACAACAAATACACATAGAAAATAAAATGAAATAGGAATCTAAATCTATTTAAAACACGAAGAACTCAAGATTCATAATTCTCTACGTATCTCGTGAAAAGGTTAAGTGAATAATGGTTTTGTGAAAATGGTATTTATATGTGCTAGAGATCTAACACAAATTAAAAATGAGAGAAAATAGTGTATGATTCAGTCAAAAGCAAGAATTATGATTCGAATAAAAAAACCAAGTGATTTGAATAAAAAAGGAAAAACTAGATGAAACTCATTTGTGTGATTCGATTCAGAAGATCAGTGATTTGAGTCACTTGATTCAAATCATACAAACTGACGATTCGAAATAGAGTTTTTGAAGTAACTATAAGAATTTATGTTTTAGTGTGATTTGAATCAGGCAATTCTATGATCCGAGTCACAGTGTTGTGATTCATATCATATGTTTCTATGATCACTAAAATTGGAAATGCATTCATGGACTCTCTGTGAGTCTGAGTCGAGTCAAACAAACTCTTTGATTCAAATCACATATGCAGAATCTCTTCTTCACAAATTTCAAAGGATTTTTAAGATTCTACAATGGTTATGACTTGAATCACTTTTAAGCATATTTCTTGATTCATAAACTCAATAGACACTTTTCAGCATAGTTCTTGATTTAAAAACTCAATAGACACTTCAAAAATTCAATAGACATGTGAATCACTTTTAAACTATAATCAAACACTTTGATTTGTGCATGCTAAAATACAAATCTAAAACTCAATCCAAACAAATACAATTGACGAGCAGACTCAATAATATAAAACTAAAACGAAAAACTTTAAGAACCAAACAATCAAAAGGACATAAGAGACATGCAACATCAAATACATATAATATAAGAATATAGTAAGATACAAGTAGTACAAATATATCACTATTTTATCTTATTTCGTTTCATTTAGTCCATTAAAATCTTTCATCACATACGATGTGATGTGCCCCCAACATGTGCTAGACAATTCATACTAAACTCCCCTAAGCATGCCAAAAGCTAAACATGACCTCATAGTCGTTTATTCAATAGCAACTAATATGAACATCATAACACACAACTAACTTTTTACTAAAAAGTCCCCTAAACATAATTAATATTACTGAAATTAATCTAAACCAAGTTAATGGTTGAAACCATTCTCCTTTACATTTTCCTTAGAATTTTCATCATCCTTCACATTTTCTTCCTCTTGAGCAAATTCTTGTTTATCTTTCTCTTCCTTTTTCTTTGCTTCCTCCTCCTCATCCTTTTTCTTTGCTTCCTCCTCCTCTAACTTTTTCTTTGCTTCCTCAAGAGATTGAATCAATTTCTTCAAACAAGTTTCAAAATCTTCTGTAATAGACTTTGGCATCAAATTCTCAGCAACATCAGCAGGTGTCATATTAGTCTCTCCCAACAAATTTCCAATAACCGGAAACAACTCATCATGAGACTCAACATCTAAGTAATTCCTTGCAAGAACCTTGAAAGCTTCATAGCTACAATATGACATCTCTATGTGCTTATCCATCCTTCCTCTCCTAATGAGAGCAGGATCAAGTTTATCAACAAAATTCGTCGTAAAAATTATGATCCTCTCCCCTCCACACGCCGACCAAATTCCATCAATAAAATTCAACAAACCCGAAAGAGTTAACTTACTTTCATTTTTCTCTTCTCCTTTAGCTTTACTCATAAGTTTCTTTTTTTCTTCATTTTCTTCATCATCTATCTCCTTTTTCATCTTCCTTTGGCCAGTAAGATCCAAAGAACAATCAATATCTTCAATCACTATAATTGACTTGCTCGACGTCTCAATTAAGAGTCTCTTCAACTCATTGTTATCCTTAACGATTGTTAACTCAAGATCATACACATCGTAGTTCATGAAATTAGCAATAGCCGATATCATCGTAGATTTTCCAGTCCCCGGAGGACCGAAAAGTAAATAACCACGCTTCCAAGCCTTTCCAACTTTAGTATAGTACTCTTTCCCTTCTTTGAACTTGAGAAGATCGTTTATGATCTCTTCTTTCTTCTCCGGCTCCATAGCAAGTGTTTCAAATCTCGCGGGATGCTCAAAAGTTGTATGACTCCACTTTGCACTCATATACCTCATCCAATCCTTGCTTGGATTGTTGGTGTAAAGCTTTAACTGCCTATTCTTTATTGTAATCGCCTTTCCTTCTTCCAACACATGTTGAATGTACGAGGTAGTTATAACATCGCGATTTCTTTTGTGAAACGTTAATGTTAAGAATCTTTTCTCATCCGAAGTAGGGTAAAACGAAAACGACTGTGTTTTTGAGGTGGTATGATTCGCAGACCACCAAACTTTGATTCCATTGAACTCATCTGTGATTTCTTGGTTATCTTCCATGGATAGGACTAATGGATTTTGGCTATCTTCGATAACTTCGGCTTTAAGTCTTCTAACTCTTTGCGTCGAGTTCGCGCTGAGATATGTTTGGATGGTTGTGTAGGTTTTGCTACGTTTAAGATGATCACCAGATAATTCATGGAAAGTTATATGGATGTAAGGGTACATGAGGCTTGTGAATTTGTTTGTGTGTTTAAGAAAATATCTACGAAGATGAGGTGGGAAGAATTTATCAAACATGGCATAGACAAACATTATGCTAGCCATGATTGATCCTAGGTTTGACCATACTTCTGCAATTTTCATCTCCAATAACTTGAACAGCTTGAAGCTTGGAGAATATAACTGTTTGGGATTCTACCTTATGTGTTGTATAAACTCAAAACGTGTGTGGTTTTTATAAAGAGTGATGGAGTATGATAAGAGTGTTTCAAGTGTTGTTCCACAACTTAGAAAACACCATGTAGGTTCTCTATGTTTTCTTGTGAGCTTCTTGGGAACCACGGTTCACTAGGAGACACTAGAGGTGTTGATATATTTGAGAAATATTATTTTGAGCCACTAGTTAATAGTAAGACTAAGTAAAAGTTGGTGATAGAGATATGAAAATAATGAATTCACACAAATGAAGATTATCATATCAACCTTAAAATATGACAATGTACAAAAGTGCTAATACATATGTGTGATAGGAGTGAAGAACAAATGACAAAGTCAGTGAATATTTTCATTGGAGTAACCAAACCCACAACTTTAATATACACACCCTTGTTAGTAATATCAATTATTTTTATCAATGAATTGTTTCTTAAGCATAACAAATATTGTGTTCATAGGGTTATCATCCATATTCTTCCCAACAAATATGTTATCAAGTATCACATAAATGCAAGTAAAATAGTCCCTACAACTGATTTTCAATAGATAGTAGTATTCAAAAAAATTATTTAAAGGAATATATAACTATTATTAAAAAAAAATACTTATCCAACATAGCAAATTTAATCACCCTAAGTAAATGAAACATAAATTACATAGTTTGTAACAAAGTTGCATTAGAGAAATTGTGTAAAATTTAATATAAAAAACAGACTAAAGGCTAAAGGGTTACCTAATTGCCTTCTACAACCAAGGTGTCTTCAATAAGAATTAATACGTCTGAGTCCTGCAATTTTTCCTTCATATTTTCTATGCTAACTCCTTAGAGAAGGAAAAAAAGTATCTTTTATTTGTGGATGAAGGTTGATCCTAAATCTAAATCTTCATTGCTGTCAATTTATCTCAAATGACAGTGTTCATTGATCAAATGAAAAACTATAAAAATCACTCAATAATTGTTGGAATTAACTCAAAATTTTGAGAATTCTGAATACATTTTGATGAACAAGATTTAATCAACGTGATAGAAATCTCTTGTTCTTCACTATTCACTCAAGTGAAATAATCACACCTTAATTGCAAGAATGATTATGCGCAATAATTGTTAATAGAAGAAGAAAGAAAGATGATTGAATAAGAAACAAGATTAGGGTTTAACAAAATAAGGGAAGAGGAGAATGATTTCTGCAGAGTAACTCTCTACTCTCAAACTGAGAAAAAAATTATTCAATTGTGTAACAGCACTTTCTGTTGCGTGTTAAAATATTATTATCTATTCTTCTTATTCAAAGTAGGGGTTACTTCCTCTATTTATAATTGAACTACTATTGGAGCGATAAAGCGGCAAGTAACAAAAGTTTTTGGAAGTATTTATTCTGGAAATTATCCTGTCCACAGAGATTATTGTTATTGAACTGTCGTTCGACAATTTAAATGTTATTGAGTTTGATTTAAAATGGGTTTAAATTAAATGCGGGAAATAAAACTTATGAGAAGAAAAAGAATTCATTCTTTGGAGAGTAGAGAACTCTCGGGTTTGCATTTTATCTACCCTATCAACTACTTAAACTTACTACCCAGTTGTACGCAACATAAATCACTCGTCAACATTATTATGTATCTCTCATTCAGAGGTTATCTCTAACACAGAGTGAGACAATGATTGTATTACTCACGTCGGCAATCTCTCAGCGCAACACAAACAACACAGAAGCATTAAGTTTCGATACCCAAGTGAATATTAAGCCTAAATCTGTCTCTAGAATCTAGAACCTAATAGATGTTCATCCTAAATTCAGGTTCAACCCGTCCATGTCTGCAACAACTCAAACCCAAATAAAGAAAGAAATCATCAACATTAATTTATGAAATGAGTTATATACAACACCATGAGCAATAAATATACATACAATTAAGGTAAACTTACATACAAACTCACAACAAATGGAAACTACAAAGGGAATAGAGGAGAGGAATCAAAATCTCTCGCGGTGTCAATCACGATCTAAGACTCATCCACCCCCAATTGTCGAGTTGCAACCTCCATTGATGTTTTTCTAAGCTCTAATCCATAAAAAAATGCAGGTTTGATGAATTGGGAACAAATACCCCAAAACATCACCTAAAAAAAATATGTTTTTACCCCTATAAATGTGTTTCGGTCCAGATAAATTCGCCCGCCGAAGCAACGGTTTGCCCGGCGAGCTCGGGGTGAGAGCTGACAATAGAAAAATTCAACATCTTGTTTTCTTTATAACTTTCAAGCTTTAACTCTGTTTGAGGTCCGGTCGGAAGCGTCGAAAAGCTTATTCAATACTCTATCTAATAATGACTAAATATCAATGCTTGAAACCTACAAAAATGAGATAAAAACAATTAAACTCAATGATATTTACACGCAAATACTATTATAGACTAAATATACACTTTTACAAACAAAGTGAAGTTTTATTCAAAGAATTCAATACAAATGAATCAATAAGTGCCTCAAAACTACTACTCAAAACTCGATATTTTGACACTTATCAGCTACCTTGCTCCCTAAGGTAAAGCCCACAATTTCTATTTTGGTGTAAGTCAAAATCTTGTGTCAAGCAACCTGCTTCGACACTTTGACATCTAACACAACTCAACACACACACACAAACACACAATAGGCTAATTTAAACACATCCTTGTTTCTGTCGAGCTACACTTGTTTTGACTCAAGGAATTACATTTTCAATAATAATTATCAATATCATATATTTGTTGAATCCAACCAATTGTCTGTAAAGGATTATATCTTCCTGGTTACCACCATAACTTTCTTCTAGACAATTGTATAAAACCTCATTGTCTGAATATGTGTTATGCTGACTTGGCTACAGCTCATTTAAAACAGTGTTAATTGATCAGATTTATGTATGCACGATGAAACTTTAACACACAATTCATATTGTTATTAAAACACAAACCTTTCCCGATGACTGGCCATACCCAAAATAATCATATTTGCAACAAATTATAACTTAAGAGTAAGAAAAACTACCATTTTCACCCATATGCATGCTTCCATAATTTTTCATCACAAAGGGTCAATAACATGATAAACTTGAACAAAACACAAATGTGCGTAAAATCACAACAATATACAAATTATCATGCATTTGAAAAATTATGAACAAACTTATTGTTAGTAATACAAGCCCATAAAACAACGTCAATCAGATATTCGTGAAATCCAATAACACAGTTTATCACATACTTCATATCTTCCAATTCAGTACTTCATTTGAAAAATCATATATATATATATATATATATATATATATATATATATATATATATATATATATATATATATATATATATATATATATATATATATATATATATATATATATATATATATATATATATATATATATATATATATATATATATATATAATCAATTACAAAATATTCAAAATTTGAGCTTATCTAATGACATAAGTGTTAGAACACAGATTGGTTCTTAATAATATCACTATGTTTTGATGATAACTATTATGAAATTTTGTATTAAAGAATTTTATATATTCTAAAATTTGCTTGAAAATGTTTGCTGCAGATGTTAAAGTAAATATCACTCCAGAAGCAAATTAGATCTGAACATAAGAAATATGCAAGGTTCTGAAGCGTCAGAAGCATCTCTTAGAAGATTCAGAACGCTGTCTCCAGAAGATTCTGAGCGCTGCCTCCAGAAGAATCTGAACCAGGAGCTACAAAAGATTATGAAGCAGAAGCTACAGAAGAATCTGAAGCAGAAGCCAGAAGCATCTGAAGCAATGAGGAATTCTGTATGAAGAGTTTCAAGCACAGTTAATTCAGAAGACTCTGATAGTACTAACGCTGCCAATACTGAGGATCTGATTCAAAACTCTGCTCTGAACATTTACACGCTGAAAGCACACTTGCTGCAAAGACTCTGATTCAGCAAACTCTGATGATATTCAGAAGGCTCTGACCAATTTAGACTTTGATGATTCTTGCTGAAAATTATTGAAGAAAAATTCAAAGTTATGTCTGTTGGAATAACCAAACGACTATTCCTTATTTATGCTAGACACAAGAACACAGACAAAAAGAATTTCTCTGTGCATTCTTCTTCTAGGAAAGGTCATATGATGTGAAGACAAAAAGGCTCAGACCTTTTTGGTACACTGTTCTCAACGTGAAAAGCTCTTGGATCTCTGTGCCTATAAAAGCAAGACTCCATTCTTCTTCTTCAGTTGATAAAACACTTGAAAGAATTCATTACAAAGCTCTCATACAACTCATACATTCTTGCTAGAATTATTTCATTGTTCTTCATCTTAAGTGAAAAATCACAATTGTGATAAAGCTTTATTAGAAGCATTTCTTAACACTTGTATTATTATTACATTTGATTGTAAAAGAACCTTAAGAAGATCCAGTTAGGATCAGTAGTTCTTGAGAAGACTTTGAACAGTTGGTCTTAGTGCTTACTATTGTAATCAGTTGATTAAATAGTGGATTAAGTCCTTATTTGAGAAAGGCAAATCACTCTATATAGGGTGGACTGGAGTAGTTGAGTTCAACAAACCAGGATAAAAATCCTTGAGTTTTTATTTCTAAGTTTTATCTTCATACTTATTCAACCCCCCCCCCCCCCCCCCCTTCTAAGTATTTTCTCACCTTCAGTTGGCATCAGAGCTCCGGTTCTGTGTGTGCTACCACTTCACAGTGACAGAAAAGATCCAGTGAGAAAAACTTTGATATATATATATATATATATATATATATATATATATATATATATATATATATATATATACATATATATATATATATATATATATATATATATATATATATATATATAGATATATATATGGTTGTTATTATGGCTGATACTTCAACATCTAACATTAACAACAAATA